GCTTTTTAAGCTCTTTGGTTGCTTTGCCTTTCTGGGACGGGGTCCATATTAAATTGGGGTAAAATATTGTAACTGTACCGTCTTTTTTTATTCCGACAACTTACTGGTACCTTCACAAAACGGGGCATGTATACAGAAAGTGTTACATAGGATCTTTCCTCCAATCTTTTGTCTGAAAAGATGTTTCGTTGACGTTGTCAAGTATACCACCATGCGGAACAGGAAAGAACGACACAGCAGAAATACTTTCTGATTGACAAACTAAAGAATACGACTAGAGAATTTTTAATGTGTGCTCGATATGTGTACTCTAATGCTTCCGAAGAGTTAGTACTCAATAGTGTTGATGAAAACATCAAATCATTGAAAATATACTTTAACGAGTAACTATACTATCATACAAGGCCTTCACAACAAATATTTTTTCACAGTCTCCATTTGCAGAAAAGTTACAAACTTAATTTAAACCCTTTATAGTAAAAGCCTCTTCTCTTTGACATCTACTTGGAGATTATTTCGACAGCAAATCCGGCAACCCGGATATGCATGACGTCATAAAATAAACAAAAAACGATTTAATCTCAAAGCCCACGTGTAGTACAGAAGTGAGCTTCAAGTACTCAAAAATATCAAAATTTTGTATTTTCAATCTTTTATTTGGACGAAAATCAACCCTTACGACCAAAAAGAGCGCAACAAGTTGTCCAAAAGTCATTACAAAGTCAGCTCGAATCTACAGGTCCGCAATACGCCGCTAACTTTTCCCAGACCCAAGAAAGATGGCGGAAGTCCGGTGACAGACGAAGAATCTCGCCAAAAATCTGGACATTTTCTCCTCAAAATCTACAGGTTAGAACCGTTTTCACCACATTTTACATCCATTCCATGATTTAAGAGTTTCTACCTTTCTTTGGGTAGTTCAGTTTAGTCTTAATGGCTAATAGCACCTATATAATTTGACGATCAGTTTTGGGTCCCGTTACTAAATTTATGGGTTCTTAGACTGTAGACGTGGCCGTGGGCACAAATAAAGTTAAAATATCTGCGGTGATGTTACATTTTAAAGTCCAAACTTTGCTTTTACATGATTTTTATACCCTTACCTATCTATAAGGGTACCATGACATCGCTGTAACTCTTGTATGTATGCTGTGAATGTGATAGAATGTAAAGTGGTGATCATATCTTTACAATGTTTACATAAGGCCAGCTTTGGTTGCGAAGCTGTGATTTCTTCGTCTATATTTGTTTTATAGGCGAGTTAGAAAAACATATCAGTTATAGGTTGTTTTTCTCTGTGTTTTTCGCAAGCTAAACTCATCAAGTATAATAATTTTGCAGTGTTTTTGTACATAAATTATCGAAAACTTCCTTGTTCACGTAACGCTACTAACTTAAAGTAAGGATTTTTATTTTAGAAAACTTTAACAGACTGAGTTAACATAACTAGAAAGTACATGGTTGTACTTCTATCATCATCGTATGTCATAAACATATGTTTTTCAGCAGTATCGTTTACACTCTCTTTTTAGCCAAAAAAGAAGCAACAGCTGTTGTTGTTGTGAACAAGTCTGCCTATAATTAGCACAACACTGAATGTGTCAAGCAAGAGCCTTTGAAATGGTACTACCCCCTGATGATAGTTTGGAACACCCCTACAACAAATTACATACTAGTATATTGATATCAACATTACATGTATAATCATTGAACTTTTCTTTCTTTAGCATAACTATTGAGGCAGCCAAAAGTATACTCCAAACGCTCCAAAAGTATTTATCATATCAGCATCCAAGAGACCTAAGTAGTAAGCTTTTTTTTTAACTTCACATAGTACTTCAAAAATCATGAATAAAGTTTGAAAAAGTTAGAAACAGGATGTTAGTCTAAAGAGTATTTATTCTATACACCTCAGATTGGTGGTCATATTAACTTATTCCTCAAAAACACAAAAGAAATGCCATGTGTTGCCATGGCAACTCAAGTATATTTAATTAAGGGTGCGGAGGCACACATACCTTTTCTATCAGCCTTTGGACTTTGGAATGCTGATCTCACAAACTGCGTAGCTACTAGCAGTTGTTGGCATTATTATACATTTATAGTCTTCAGGACTCAAAAATTGTTTTTGGGAATAGGACTGGATGCACCTAAACCAGAAAAATGCAGGAGCGCCCAACCAGAAAAATGGGTGCAGTAGTACTAGTAGAAGCATACTTCCTTATGTGCATTTTAAAAGAGAACTTTGAAATATGTGCAAATTATGCATGTTTATGTCAAAAATTTGTAACTCTGGAGGTTTCAAAGACTGAGAAACTTGGTGTTCTAGTTACACACACTGTGTAGTACTGTTCTGTATGTAAATAGACTATATAAATTATCCATACAGTACAAGATACGCCTTTGGTGTTGACCTATAGCAGAAGAATAGCTGCGTTCAGGATCACAGCGTTTCTTTGTACAACGTTCTACGTGATCAGCTTTTGCCGCCAGCTGTTGCTAACTAATTTGCATATCAAAGGATATGATTGACTGTAAGTTAAGTATGAAGCTCAGAATTCATAATCCACTAATAGAGGTCTCTTCTGTAAGCTTGGAGATTTGAAAATATGAAGAATCTGTGTCTTCTATGAAGCAAGTTTAAACTGTAATTTCAAACACATGTTGTGTGAGTGCGTTGGAAATTACAGTGACTTCTACCAACACGTCTTCTATTTATGTGTGAGGTTACCCTCATTTTATCAGCTCTAATATAACTTAATATAATGTACCGGTTTTGTCTAGGATGGCAACTTGTAATACACCTGTTTTGCCCTTGCTCCCACATGTGTACTTGCAAAGAATTCAGAGAAACAAATGTTCGTCTGTGAAAATGCGGGCAGACCAGTTTTGAGTGTAAACACACAGGATACCATGCTCTAGATCCCATAAGCACAAGTCTCAACCTACAGCAATTACTGCTACCCAAAACCGGTTCTCCTAAACCCTGACCAAACAATTTACTTACTTATATATATATATAACGTTATATCTTTTACCTTCACATATGTTGAACTGACTGATTCCATGCTTAGTAAAAGTGTACAACACAAATTCACAGTCGTGTGATCTTGTTGACTTTGGCTTTCTGCAGTTTTCTATTTCTGGCCTGTTCTGCCAAGCATTTAAAAGAAGAAGAACTTAATTGCGCAACAGATGTAGCTACTCTCCAAGCAGAGGTAGGGTCGCTCGGTATTTTGGCAGTATTTTCGCGTTTTTAATACGTCTTTCTACTTTTACGGTTTTTTTTTTTGGTCTTCCTCCCCTTACTCTCCAAGCAGAGGTAGGGTCGCTCGGTATTTTGGTCAGTATT